ATATTTCTCAAACCCCACAAATCAGCAGGCTTATTCAGGCTGGGCTAAAAAAGCCCTTTTTTTAAAAATGGGCTCCAAATTTTTTAGCCCAGCCCTATTAAATCCCAGGTTAGGCCAGGCGGCCCAACAGGCCTAGCCCATATTGACGGCTCTAGTAAAAACTAGATTTTAGCTTTATCAATTTAATTTTCGTGGCTAAGAAATTTGATGAATTTTTAGATAGCCACGAAATTTGAAGTTTTGTGGCTATTACTAAAATATAGGTACGAGTTTTAGATTGGTAGCTTAGATTCCGTAGCTGTAAATACATTTTCTTGTAGTGCGTTTTTGTGATACTTATTACTCTCTCTATCCCAATTTATGTGACTCACTTTCCTTTTTGATCAGTCCTAAAAAGAATGACGCATTTCTTTATTTGGTAAATATTTAATGACATTATCCCTATTTTACCCTTCTTGAATCTCATTATTTCAATAGTTGCACTCTTTTAATTTAAAGAAAAAGTTATTGAAATACAATAAAGTATAAATACTTTTCTTTTTTTCTGACAGTCAACAGTACTTTAAACACTTTTTTTCAATACTTTGTCATAACCCTTTAAAATGTAAAAGGAAGAATTGAAAAATTGAAGATGAAGTATCTCTACTTATATGGAGTCCATTAGTTAATATTTTAAAATTTGGCAAAACAATTGGCGCTAGAAACTGAAAAATTTGATCTTTTTCCACATTCTTTTTTTTTATGTTATCAATTTTCTGAAACTACAATTAAAATCATGAATTTTCTTTTACTTTTACCTAGAATGGCAAAAACTCAATCATTTTGGAGTCTATCAAGACTAAGGAGAGAGAATGTAGAAAAAAGAAGAGGGAGAAATAAATATATTGGACTATTTTGGATTTACAATAATATTGATGTGACATAATATTATGAGGAGAGAGAAAAGTCTATTCAATGTCAGATGTAGTGTTTTTTTTTATTTAACAATTTAAACTTATTAATAAGGGTATTTTTGAAACATTGTAGAGTCTTTTTCCATTTTTTTTAAAGTTTGTGTCAAATTAAAGTAGCTCATATAAAATGGAACGGAGAGAGTAATTTCTTTGATAATGATGATCAACGTACGTCTATGTATAACTACTCCCTCTGTCCCAATTTATATGACTTACTTTCCTTTTTAGTCAATCCCAAAAAGAATGACACATTTCTATATTAAGTAACAATTTGATTATAAAATATCTATTTTACCCTTAATGAAATGATTTACAGCCACACAAATTTCTATCATTCATTTTGAACCACAAATTTTTAAAATCTTTCTTTCTTTCTTAAATTCCGTGCCGAGTCAAAATACCTCATATAAAATGGGACGGAGGGAGTATAAGATAAGAAGAACGAGAGGACCAATCAAGGCGTCATTGTACACCCTACCAACATGAACTTATCTTTAGTGGTTGGCGTACATTTGAGAATTGTACGTTACGTTGGTCCCCCACCAAAAAATAATTGCTACTCTTTTTCCTTTGAGACTTTTGTGTTTTCTGCACCTATGACATCATCTCCTGCATCAGAGTGTAACATATAAACATGGAATTTCCAAAACATGCATCAATTGTACATTTTATCTAAAAAAGAAAGAGCATCCCTACCCCTTCAAGTCATCTTATTTCCCAAATTTAAACTTTTCTATTCAATGTCAGATGTAGTATTTTTTATTTATTTAACAATTTAGATTTATTAATAAGGGGATTTTCGGAACATTGTAGAGTTTTTTTCCATTTTCTTAAAGTTTGTGTCAAATCAAAATACCTCATATAAAATGGAATGGAGGGAGTAATTTCTTTGATAATGATGATCAACGTACGTCTATGTATAGTTATAAGATAAGAAGAACAAGAGGACCAATCCAAGCTTCATCGTACAGCCTACCAACATGAACTTATCTTTAGTGGTTGGCGCACATTTGAGAATGCATTCTAGTATTGTACGTTACGTTGGTCCCCCCACGATAATTTTTTTTTTCCTTTGAGACTTGTGTTTTCTGACGCATCTCTTTCTTTTCCAGTGAATTGGTTAGTTGAAAAATTAGTAGGAAAATCATATTCTATGATACAAACTTTTCACTTATTTGTGGAAATTTTTTTAGGGGTGTCAAATTGGCGGGTTGAGTTGAAGGTGGAAATATTAAAATGGGTTGAAATAGAAATTGGATTGGATCCTGACCCGTCGAAGTTCACTTTGGGTTCAAATGGGTTGGGTCTTGACCCGCCCAATTTGACTTGCTTGATCTCAATAATTTTAATATATTGTTATAAGATAAGAAGAATGAGAGGACCAATCCAGGCTTCATCGTACAACCTACCAACATGAACTTATCTTTAGTGGTTGGCGCACATTTGAGAATGCATTCTAGTATTGTACGTTACGTTGGTCCCCCCACGATAAATTTTGAATAAATATGTATACGAAGTTTGTTTATATTTTAGGCTTCAGATTGAAATTTCGCTTTAGCCCCCCAATTATGTTGAACCACCCCTGGTCACATAACATGACAATTTTTTATTTGACCACTTAAATAATTGATTATTGTCTCATCATTTACTTATAATGTTGTGCTAAATTTGTCGCACTTCTTAAACTTTTGATAATTGAACAACCAGTAAGAAGAGGAGTTCAACTTGAAGAGTATCAAATAAAAATAGAAGAAAACAAAAAGTAGCATTTAATTTTTTCTTTATATTCTTGAGTATTATTTTTTTTTATCAATATAATGTATAATCATTATACAAAATAAAATCGTGAAATTTGAAAAAATTACTTATATATATATATATTTTTTATTTTTTTTTATATATTTATGGAGATTATTTAGTTTACTTGATAAACTAGTGAATATAGCCAGCCGCGCTTCTTTATGGAGATTATTTAGTTTACTTGATAAACTAGTGAATATAGCCAGCCGCGTTTCGCGCGATTATAAGTTTATCAGTGAATAAATAAATATTTCTTTTATAAATTTAATCTAGGTAAAAATATATAAATATAAATATAATTTTTTTTTGTTGGAACTCATAGATTGATTGATTGCAATTTCTAAAACATTACACCTTATTTGAATGATTGAAGAAATGAAGTGAAGAAGATTATATTGAAATTCTAAATATATACAAATTTGATATACCAGCTAAATTATTACTCTTTCAATATTAATATTCTCTATTATACGTGATTTCCTCTTTTATTTAAACCTCATAATAAATATTATTGATATTTCTCTTCATTTGTGATATGATACGTTTTTTCATCTTTTTTTAGACATATAATATAGAATTTCTTTTTGCATTTTTTTAGTGCAAACTATTCATATGTATATAGTAGAACAAAATATTCACCGTGGTGAAGTAATTAAATGGAATAAGAGGTAATATTTTTAAATAACAATATATTGTATTATGTTGAAAATATTTTGTATGTTTTAATTTCCTCTATCTTATGTAGGAGTACTAATTTTCTATACAAATTCTAATTTCGTAAAAAAATTAAATTTTTTTATTGTGTCTTTATTATTACATTTGGTTATTATAATTTTTTAACACTAATTAAATATTTATAAGAATTATGAAAAATGATTATATATATGTCCAATTTTATTAGACATTAAATGCATTAATAATTATGCATTGATTTTATTTGTAAAATAAAAAAATAAAAATAAGGGGTGAAAATACAAAAAACAAACAAAAAATATAATAATTGGTGACTGCATAAGTATTATAAAAACATTTCAAACAAAAAAGAATAGCAACGAAAATAGATTGTTACATATGTATGCAAAACGTGGCATCATGAAATTAATATTTATTTTTCAATTACTTATTGCAAGTATAATAAAAATGAAGCTCCTAATCATCATAATTTCTTTTGTTTTTGAAATGGAATAATTATATTAATTGTGCTTCATAAAAAAAGTAGAATACTAAAGGACCAAATGATAAGCATTGACAATACATGTAGCTAAATTATTTATACAAATCAAAGTTTAATTTTTTTTTAGCAAAAATAGCTAAGTAACTAATACAAGTCAAAGAAAAAAAAAATTAGCAAAAATAATCTCTAATTATGCTCCCCCTTCCTCTTCTATCATCTTTCTTTGCAAGGATATCCGCCATCATATTTTGCGTTATATGTCAAATTGCTCATCATAAGCTATCAATTGAATAAAAAAAAGTTATATGAGTAAATAAAATATCATATACCAATTCAAAAATAATTATATTAAAAGAAAGAAGAAATTTAAATTATATGTAATTTATCTATATATTATTTTTTCAATAGTACTAACAATACTAAATAATAATCATCTCTTGAAATCTAACAAATATTATAATCAGATTATAATATATCCCGAAAATTGACTATTAGAAAGAAAAATTGCATACTGACAAGACATTATTCATTATTACTAAGGTATTTTTTTTAACTTTCTTGCTTAGTGAATGATAATACATACATAATAAAATATTAAGAAAGCATGCCCAAGTAAATAAAAATAAAAAGAAAGACTTGAGAATAAAATATATCTTACCTTCATATACTTCTTTTTTGTGACATGTTAGTTAATTCACAACAAATATGATGAAGAAGAGAAATGATATTGCTGAATGTGAATCTTAATGAAATTAAATGAATTTATATAGGTAAAATAGAGGAAATGAAAAAATAAAGACTTGAGAATGAAACATTTCTTACCTTCATGAACGTTTTTTTTTTGTTACTTGAGTGTAAATCTTCATGAAATTAAATATGAATTTATAGGTAAATTAAAGAAATAAGACATTATAAACTTACAAATTTAAGTTTGGAGGTTATGGACATAAAAATTATGGGAGTTATGAATAATTTTAAAATTAAAAATTAAAGAGGTGTAAGTCATGGATAATAAATCCTTGTGAATAAATTAAATAATAAAGAGAAAAATACTTAAAATATAAAATATTTACTTGAGATTGATAGGGGATGGTATGAGGTTCCCTGGAAGTGCCTAATGTTCAGTACTACTGCTCGACCAAAGGCTGTGTTTATTATGTGGTTGCAGCTGCAAGCTAAGTTGCTCACTAAAGATAGGTTACTGAAATGGGGATCCAAGGTGGAGCCACAATGCATGTTGTGTCAAAATGAGGATGAAACTCGCGATCACTTGTTTGTGAAGTGTTCTTATACTAGACGACTATGGGATGGGTTTGCTAGATGGATGCAAATGACGTCTGATATAGGTGGGAATTGGCAGCAACACCTTACCTGGGCTCTGAAGAATGCAAAGGGGAAGACTATAAGAGCTCAGATTTTCAGAATGGTATATGTTGAAGCTGTGTATGCAGTATGGATTGAGAGGAATCAAAGAGTGTTCGAGCAGAGGACAAAAGGAGTAGATAGGATTATTAGAACTATTGCCTTTATTTGTAATGTTAGGGCTTCCTCAAGGACTAGGCCTTTAGTTCAGTCTTAGTTGGTATAAGAGTGGATGTGAGGATTTATGTGTATAGCATGTAGAGGAGAGTGGGGATAGTGTCTATTCAGTATTCAGGATCAAGCTAACTATGGATGTTGGCTGCTTTGTATTGCTTTACATGTGATTAATGGAAACAAGTTAGTTACCTAAAAACATAAAATAAATAAGATAAGATAAAAGATAAATAAAAAACTAAACTGAAAAAAGCTCAAGTCATTAAGGGTATAAACTTTAGTGTTATTTAAAACTTGAAAGGAATAATTTGTAACATAAATTTTTAAACTTTTATGTTAAAGATTAAAAATATTCTAGAAAATAAGAAAAGGGAAAGAATTGAAAAAATAGATGAATATGAAATTATGAATCATAACCCAAGTGATGTCTCACCTTACCTCTTCTATATCTAACTTTTATATATATAAAGATTTTCATGGATACAAAGAAGCTACTAAATTATCAATAATAAAAATGAGATATTAGATGATGAACCTTTTTAACTTATGTCTTGTCATTTCACATTAATAGGGAAGTTCATAGCACATATTTTGACAAATCCCACAATATGATCTAAAATTAGACAAGGTAAAATGTTTGAATGTAGGTTAAGATTTTCATGGATACAAAGAAGCTACTAAATTATCAATAATAAAAATGAGATATTAGATGATGAACCTTTTAACTTATGTCTTATCATTTCACATTAATAAGAAAGTTCAATAGCACATATTTTGACAAATTCCACAATATGATCTAAAATTAGACAAGGCAAAATGTTTGAATGTAGGTTAATTAATTTTAAAAAAATTCAAGAAGAATTTCAATTAGCTTATCAATTGAGAAATTGAAGTCTAAATAAAGAACGATATTAAAAGAGAAGTAAGAATAAGTCGTAAACAAACAAAATATCAAGAAAAATTGTGCATGACCTTTATCATTAACTAAAGCTACTAAAATGTCAATAGGGAAAATGGGTTATTACTCTATCAATAATCATCAATTTTTTTGTACTTACCCATAAAATCCACATTAATATAAGAAGTAGAATAATGCATATTGTGATAATCCACAACATAATATAATATAAATTAGAAAAGATGATGTACACATTAATGTGAAAATATCCTGAAATGAAATTTAATTCATCAATTGAGAAATCAAAATTTGAATAAAAAACAACATTAGAATAGAAATAAACACAAGAATGAAGCAATATAATAAGATAACATGATACAATGACAAAACACAATTATACAAATATAATATTTTGTTCCAAGTAAATTTGAGAATCTATAAAATAGCAAACCAATTCATGAAAAAATAGTCATCTAAATGATAATGATGAAATTGTGATACAAAATAGCAAAACAATTGAAAAAAATAGTCATCTAAAATGATAATGATGAAAGTATGATACAAAATATCATTATTAAAATATTATAATATTAATATTTGTAAACAAAAACAAATAAAATAAAATGGTACCTGAAAACTACCTAAGCAGTCCCATCAGAAGGGAAGCAATTGGTGAACAAAAAATATTTCTCCATGACATCAATAGTTAGAGATTTATAGTAACTATGAAAGGAGATAATGACTTCATCTCCACAATTGATTTTGAGACAAAAATAAACATTTAATGTCATAAAAGAGTGTAAATAATAGTAATTAGAAGAGAAGATGAAAAGTTGAAGAATTGGTCATGATCTTAGACGTGGGGGGAGAGGGAGGGTTGATTGTTTTTACCAATAAATTTAATAAATTAATTAAAAAGTGATTATAGATAAAGAATAAAACATTAATTAGAATATTTAGACATTAAAAATCTAAAAAAAAAAAGAAAAAAAAAATATGAATGGAGGCCATAGAGAGGTGCCACATCACCTTGTCTATGTTCCTCCTTTATATATATATAATATATAGAATAGTTAGTTTTAGCCTTATCATAATTATTGTTGATGGGGAGGGCCTCTACTATATCGGAGAGGTTCATGGGTCGGCCATGGCTATGGATGATATCTGGAATTTCAAGTTGAATTGCACATTTAAGTGACATGGAGTTGATGTAGTTGAATATATGGTTCCATATGTGTGCCTGAGCAGCCAGAACTTGTCTAGTTTCGTCTCCAATATCATTATTAGGCAATGCCATTTTTGTGATACTTATTAATTTCTTTGAGATGCTAAGGATTTACATATACATATTTATTATTTACTCCTATAAGAAAAACAAGAGGACCAATCCATCCTGTGTCCTGCTTCATCGTACAGCCTACCAACGTGAACTTGTCTGTACTATGTGGAAGGATTATGTTAAAGACTAGTACACTACAATTTATGTTCTAATTTTTTTTATTGAATTAAAGTTTGATGAAATAGTTACTTAAGTGGAGAACAAATAACTTTGTAATAATTTATTATGCGATTTTATAAAGTTTTGTTTATTTGGCAAGATTGAATAAACAATTAGGGCTACTTTAATAGTTTTACAACTTATGAAATTCTTATGTTTATGAGAAAATATACAACACAAAAATTTCATATCGCATGTCCAAACAAAATTTTAATTTCATCTCATAGTTCCATAATATGATATCATATCACATGACCAAACTGGCGCTTAGTATATCTAATCTTCCTAATTTTACATGATTAAAGAAGAATTTAATTTGCATACACTCTGCATTAGGAATTTAGGATCATTAATAAAAGGAAAATAAATAAATATACAAGAGGCCGGTTCCTTTGTTAACACATAGGGAGATGAAGAATAAGATTTCCAAAATAATGCACAAACCAAATAGTACAAAACCAAATCGAAAAACCGAATGCACAGCCCTAGTTGTAATCACGTGAGGAGTAAGGATCGTAAACATAACACAAAAGGGCCCTTTATTAACACATGGAAATTAAATGACAAATAAAATATGCATCATGATCATTCACTGAAGGGGAATGTTTTATTAATTTGTCGAATTAAGAGTGTAGATTAAGGGTAAACCTCAATAACACACCTTAATCCTAAGATAGGAATAATCTTGTAGTCACTATAACCAGCATCAAAAAAGAGTTTTGCCCATTCTTGTTGGCTTCTTTCTTTTCCACTTAGTAGAATCATCATCAGTATATCAATTAAGAGTTGAGTTTCATATGACTTATCGTCGTCTTTGTTTTGATCCATCACTATTTCAATTAGGATTACCTTTCCTCCATTCTCCTTACTTGGAATTGCTTCTTTACATTTCTTCAATATTTTTATACAATCTCCGTCGCTCCAATCATGTAATATCCACTATTTGCCATATAAATCAAACATAAACAATTAATACATGTAGTATAGTTATACATCAAATTGACAAAAAGTGTGTGTGTGTGTGTGTGTTACAAAGCTATACCTTAAGTAAAATTGCGTTGGCAGAAGGAATGGAGTTAAACATGTCTCCTCCCACAAAGCTTAGGTTCTTGCTTCCTTTTAGCCCTTCAATTACATGAGGGAGTTCAAAGACAGTGCAATTTATTTGTGGAAATGTATCCGCAATAGCTTTAGCTATGGTTCCAGTGCCCCCTCCAACGTCCACCAACGATTTCAACCCTTCAAAAATTAATCCCTTACCATTTTGAATCAACACGGTCATGACCAAACGGGTATCACTAGCCATGGCTTCGTTAAATAAATGGTTAAGTCTTGGTTCATTCTCTGCATATTTGAAAAATGGCATGCCATGAGCGGTTGCATATGGAGTAGTATTAGAGTCGTCACTGACGTTGTTGAACCATTTGCTGAGTGAATGCCATGGATCCATCAAATTTGGATCTAGTTGGAAATTCAAAAAAGGGATCATGCTCATAGGCTCATCTTTGAGGAGGAGACGTGAGGTCGGAGTAAGTAAATAGCCCTCTTCAGCTTCTTGAATAAAGAAGCCAGCATGAACTAGAATACGCATGAGACGGTAAACACAATCATGAGTTTTAGCCTTATCATGATTATTGTTGATGGGGAGGGCCTCTGCTAAATCGGAGAGGTTCATGGGTCGGCCATGGCTATGGATGATATCTGGAATTTCAAGTTGAATTGCACATTTTAGTGACATGGAGTTGATGTAGTTGAATATATGGTTCCATATGTGTGCCTGAGCAGCCAGAACTTGTCTAGTTTCGTCTCCAATATCATTATTAGGCAATGCCATTTTTGTGATACTTATAATTTCTTTGAGATGCTAAGGATTTATATGTACATATTTATTATTTACTCCTATAAGAAGAACGAGAGGACCAATCCATCCTTCATCGTACAGCCTACCAACATGAACTTATCTTTACTGGTTGGCGCGCATTTGAGAGTGCATTCTAGTACTGTACGTTACGTGGTCCACCACCATAAGTTATAAGATAAGAAGAATGAGAAGACCAATCCAGGCTTCATCGTATAGCCTACCAACATGACCTTATCTTTAGTGGTTGGCGCACATTTGAGAATTGTACGTTACGTTGGTCCCCCACCAAAAATACTTTTTTTCCTTTGAGACTTTGGTGTTTTCTGCACCTATGATGTCATCTCCTGCATCGCAGTGTAACATATAAACATGGAATTCCAAAAACGTGCATCAATTGTACATTTTATCTGCAGAGTGACATTCTTTTCTAGTGAATTGGTTCGTTGGAAAATTAGTAGGAAAAACATATTCTATGGCATAAATTTTTGGCTTAAGTCATCCACGACTCCTTAAAGTTGTCCGCATATTTTATTTAGACATCTTAACTAGGACTATTACCTATTGAACACTTAAATTGCTCAAAAAATGTACCTATTATACACAAAATGTTGATATGGCAAAAGAAGTGTTTTTCACTTTCTTTGGGAGCGTGAATTTTTTTGAAATACTGTTTTATTTTTATTTTTTCCAAAAAAACTTCTACTTTTTCTTCTTTAATTGACACTTGACATTTAAATAAATTAAAATAATTTTTTTATATTTTTAAAAATAACAATTCTTAATCCAAAAAAAGAAAGAGCACCCCTACCCCTTCAAGTCATCTTCTTCCCCAAATTTAAATTTTCAAAAACAACTATAGAATCTCCATTTTTTATTTTTGTTTTCTATTTCTTTTCAATATTCATAA